ACTAAAAATATGGACAAGCAGGGGTTAAGGAAAGTGGAGTCAGAGCAATTTTGAGTTCATTTTTAAACAGAATTTTCCAAGTCTCCATAACAGGAAGTCTATGGACAGTGTGGAATGTGGAAAGTCAGCTGAATATCTTGGTCACTGGGCCATTGCTGAGTAGGTTTTGTGATAAAAGGTATTCCATTGTCAGATTGCAAACATCTCTGATTCCAAGCCTCAAAAATGTAACCATGTGCCTCTAAAGACCACAACAATTGCAGTCACATGGAGCTGGTTGAACTTCAGCAACAAAACTGCAATCTGAAATGGGTCAATAGCAATGAGCAGAGGTTGCAAAGGGTGCGCAGAAATCAATGGAATGTGGCCTTCTCTGTCTCAGAAATAGAGTCACGAGTTCAGGGAGCATTGATGGCAATGTGAGTGGTGAAATTTCAAACACCTGCATGTACAGTGGGCTGCATAATAAAGGAGGCACCCAGGATTTAGCAAGCCACTCTGCTTTGGGAGGGGTAGGAAGCATGCCTGCTCAGTGTTCCAAAGAGAGAGACAATATCTCTAATTCCAATGCTATAAGCAAACTTGCGCTTTGCCTTCAGGAAAAAAAAAAAATCCCTATCTTTATCTTCCAAAGCTGTTTGCTATACAAACATTCTTTAAACAATAGGCCAGAACTAAAACAATGAGGCCTCTATTGATATGACCAGAAGAAATGGAAGCGATTTATAAAGAATTGTCAGCTAACTCCTAAACCATAAGTTTTGAAAAGTTCTTCAATGTAAGATTGCATTGTGAGCAGTGAGAATATAGTGGTAATTAAGAAACAGTTCTTGTCTTGACATGCTAGAGACAGCATTGATAGTGTTGGCATGTTGGGGGTGGTGATAAATAGATATGCATATATACATATACATAAACATGATAACAGGATTGGTAAGGAGGAAATTAATAGCAAGAAGTTAATGAGAAGAATACCTCCAAGGCAACAATTGATTGGTATTTCTTATAGGTAAGTTAGCATAACACCACCCATCAGAAAATGGCACCACATAGCAAAGTAAGATCACAGAAATTGCTACCTTAAGAAAAAGATGTTGCATGGGCTGAGGATTTGGTTCTGTGGTTCCACTGCCTGATCTGCAAGCACAAGGGCCCGCATTTGATCCCTGGTGCCACACAAAAAAACAAAATTTTGCCTTGAATATCGAAAGTTAGCAATCTACAGGGAAGGAACTTCACTTCTGGCAAACATATTTGGCTCTTTGAATTTTGTTAATTGCCTGCAGGATCTATGACCTAATAGAGAAGTTGTTGGGCCATGAAACCTGTTTGCCCATTATACAGATGGGTTTGGGGCAGGACAGGGAGAAAGTGGAGCTGATTCACAGACTATTTAAATTATCTAGTAAGGAGAGATGGGGATTTAGCTCAATGGTGTTCCATCTGCCTGGCAAGCTCAAGTTCCTGAGTTTGATTTCCTCATACCAGAAAAGAAATTGTATCTGTTATGTCTCTCCTTCGGAGATGCAGGCAATTTGGAAGAAAGTGAAAAATAAAGATCAGTAAGATAAAGAAGAGACCAACATCCACACCAGCCCATTTGTGCCTCTTTCCCAGGACTGATCTCACAGACCTTAGTCTAGAAGATTTTGAAGTTTAACTGTATGGCACCTGGAATTATGTTATCTATTTAGAATTTGAGTGCCTAATGGTGATACATCCATAAAGATGAGTAAAGCTTAAAATGATGAACAGAATAAGTCTCTGTCAAAAGTGGGGAAGAATTTCCCATGTGAGTGTCAACAGATACTCTCTGTGGGGATGAGTTGTACTGAGATGGACATGTATGGGGTAATGCTAGATCCTTGCTGCTGTGAAGAATAAGGTGGTAGCCCTCAGTCCTCTGTTAATGCTAGAGCAAGGGGAATCCTTTTTAATTGGCATATATGTCCCTTTAAGAAAAGAAATTTGACCAAGAAGGGAATTCTTGGATTCCATTTCTCTGGTCTGTTTTTCCTCAGATTTACCCCTTGTGAGGTTGATCTCTTTTCGCTACAATAAGAAAAATGGATGTGTGTTAGGAGAGGTTTTCAGCTTTGGTGATGGAGAAGTGTGATTGCTTCACAGAAACGGAAGGATATGAGAACAGGGAGTACCTAGCTTTTCCAGCTTTAGCAATAAGTAACAAACAGCAAGGCGAAGTCAGGAGTACGGATGAGTACCAGAGTACAAGGGAAGAGGAAATCTGATAAAATGAAGGTCTCTGAGTACCAATGTGAAGATAATCAGATTGGAACATTAAATATTTTCCACAATCAATTTCATATGACTTGGTATCCACCATACTCATGACTAGAGCTAGAACTATTTTATTGATAACTATTACATCACAGTACAGACTTGTGGACAAGCATAATCAAAATGTTTGTAAATGTTTAAATTTTTAAAAACGTGTAAGACTGTAATAGACGTATTATCATTAAGCCTCCTTGAAATATCCTGCCTTGCACTCTAAACATACTTATTCCACTGTTCTTACCACTTTCTGAAGCAGTTCTGATATGTGTCATCAAATATACAGTGAATATTCCTATCAAATACCATCCAATGGAAAGGTCAGCTTGAGAAACACACGACTGTATATCTGTATCCATCTTACTCGCTGGATCTGGCCCTCAGGGACTCCTGGCTGTTCCCCAAAGTTGTGGAAGGTAAACACTGTCAATCAATTCAGGACACCGAGGCAGCCATAAAAGCACGACGACAGGCCCTCTGAAGGAGGAATTCCAGAACCGCTTCAGAAAGGGGCAGGAATGGTGGGGTAAGACTGTGTAGGATGTGAGCTAGATGTGTTGAGAGACATTAGTAACAATATATCCTTTAGAGAAGTATTTTTTTAATTACATATTGTCTGTATTTTTCAATCATACCTCTTAGAATTTATCCGTGGAAGGAAAATGTACAGTGGAGGAAACCAGATAAATAGCATGACTGGGCACAATTACAACGTATTTCTAAATGAGACAGAGTAATGGGTTTAAACTAAGCAGTTTTAGAATATCTGAAAAAAAAGACATGCAAGTCAGACATATAACTGCAACAGTGGCTAAGGCGAAAAGACATCACAAGCAGCATCAATTTTAAGTTGTGCTGCATGAAACTAATGTCCACAGGGTAAATGAAGCACAGAAGTGCAATGTAGGTATCAACTAATGACCTCAGAACAGAAAAAGTGACCAGTGTCAACTGGACTGTTAAGGAAAAAATGTACTAACAAAAACAGGGCTCAAGAAAACAGAATTTGATAATTACTCATGAAAGCAGGTATTTTTAGAAGAATTAACCTTATATACATGTAAAACAAGTGAAAGATTAGTTTGGCAGAAGAAGGTATTTCTAGCTAGGACAGGATTGACTTTGGAACATTTTAGAAGTCACTTATTCTTGTACTATAATCTTATGAAGGAGATGTTAGTAAAATTATTCTGACAGCAAAGCACAAATAGACATATAGACAAGACTGAATAAAAGAAGATGAATGAAGGAGACTCACGCCATAACACAGGAGGAAATGAAGCAAAGGCGGGAGCACCAGGCAAGGAAAGTGCCAGAGCAGAAGACCTCCCAAAGAAGAAGCCATGGAATAAAAACAACTGACCGGAGGATGAGTTGTATATAATTAAAGAGAAAAGAATCACTGAAGTAAAGATGCTCAGCAAAAATTAATAAATACAGTATAGTGAACAGAATACATAAGAGGGGCTGGAATACTTGGCCATTTAACAAATTAGTGTATTTGATTCACTTGATTATTATTCAATAAACATCAAATATCTCACTTCTGCAAATTCCTGAAAATAAAACAGACACCGTTCCTATCATCCATTTTAAATCGGGTAGTAGTTTTAAAAATCTCAACAAAGTACAAGACAGTGTAAATGTTTTTAAAAAGAGAAAACTCTAATTTCAGGGATGCAGGGATAACTTCTACTGGGACAGAGCATTCAATCTGACTTCTGAAGAACACTGATTTTTTTCACAAACCTGGCCCTGAAGGCAGGCCTGTGTGTGTGTGTGTGTGTGTGTGTGTGTGTGTGTCAGTGTGTGTGTGTGTGTGTGTGTGTGTGTGTGAGTTTGGAAGGCACGCGGTTCCTGCAGAGCTTAGCAGGATGGGGTGAGGATGTGGGGCCTCAAGCAGGGGTTGGGCCTCAGGGCAGCCAGCCCTTAGGTGCACTGGGAGGAAGCCCAGGGCCTGGCGCACCTCTGGGCGCTGCTCCCGGGCCCGGTTCTTCGGGCCACGCCCCGACCGCCTTTCTCCACCCCAGTCACCGCCTCCCGACTCTGGGCTTAGCATTCCTGGCGGGTGGGAAGCGGGTAAGGAGGCGGGGGAAAGAAACTGTCTGGAAAAAAATATGAAAAAGCAAACTTCCCACTTGGCAAAGAGTGCGCGGGAAGTCCGGCGCGGAGTTCCGTCTTCCGCGCCCGCAGCTCCGTCCCCCGGTCCTCGGTCCTCGGCGCAGTGCCCTCGGGCTGCGG